ATATGGGGTAGGCGATATTTAATTCCGCGACTACACAGCGATCCGATGTACAGATCTATAATATTTTTCTTACTAGTTTTTATATTACTAAGTATCAGGTCCTGTGTTTGAATCCTAGATCAGACCGAAGTCAGTTATTGCGTTTTATGTCAAGCAATTCTCAGTCTGTAGCCGCAAAGTTGCGATTTCACTTCCGTGCCCCGGAAAGCGCGTAACAGTGAGTGCAGTGCTTGCGTACTCTCGGGAACTATAATCCTGTCCTGCGCAGATTACTATTCTTAAAAGGAAATATAATAATGATTTCTTATATTTACGCGAACACTACACATTGATTAAAACTACTTTTATGGATTTTATCGCGTTTATTTTACTATTATTTTTAATTCCCAACGTTTTGGGCGCTTTCCAGCACCCATGGTCACGGGGGACTGAGATGACTGACGTCCCGATGTCATTGTTAAACCCGGAGTACCTTCAGCTTTTTTTTAATTATTACCACCATACCAACACAATTAGGACCATAAACAATAATTAAAAAAAGCTGAAGGTACTCCGGGTTTAACAATGACATCGCGACGTCAGTCACCTCAGTCCCCCGTGACCATGGGTGCTGGAAAGTGCCCGAAACGTCGAGAATTAAAAATAATAGTAAAATAAACGCGATAAAATCCGTAAAAGTAGTTTTAATTAAGGAAATATAATCTCAAATGGCTTCGCAAGATCCTTCGTTATGCCGAAAATATTGCAGTATTAATTTTGAAATAAATATATTGTAAAGTTGAGGATTAATGTTAAGGATTATGTTAGACGAAAACACGATTTCGTAAAATTTTCTCGATAGAAAAAAAAATCCAAAGTTACCTCCAAAATAAACAATAAACCGCTGTTATTCATAAAATACTTTAAATAAGATCATGAAACTTTGCATACTAACTGAACTAACTATAAAGCAGTGCTTATGTTATTTACTTTTTTTAAAATACCATTATTTTCACTGTAAAAAGAAATTATCTAAACTATCGGCCTTTTGAAGCGTGATTCCTGCCGCACGGTCACTTCGCTTCGGCCTTTGAACGGGGAGGTTGTGTCGCTTACGATCAGAATATACATTACGGAACAGGACGACGTAAAATTAAAATGGGAAATAACCGTAATAAAAATAAGAAGCGACTGGCTTGGCTTTAAGAAACAGGCATAAATATGATAAACCTAATTAAATAAGTGTCTAACGACCGTCTACTTACAGTATTAGTGATTACAAACGTGTCGGTACATAGCATACGACGCGCGGCCAAGTGGGGACGAAATTAGAATTTGAGCTGACTTAAGCGGGCTACATACGAGACGATATCGGTGGCGATCTAGGGTGGAAAGAAATCGGGGCTTTTATCGGGGTAGACCCTACACATGGGCCTGCCTAGCAGTAGCAGTACGCGTTCGGACTTGGAGCGGAACGCATATGCGGTAGATTTCTTCAAAATAGCTTCAATTCTCTTAAAACACCAACGTGTTGGTTTGGCATTAGCCCTCTCGGTTAATTTATTCGAAAATAGAAAAAGAGGAGTTGCTGGGTGAAAAAATGGCTCCAAAAGAGACAAAAATTAAGCCACATAAACGTACTAAATGATCTGTAATCCAAAGACATGATTAATTTTCTCCGGATGGATGATGACAGTTTGTAAAACCATCTAGAAATGATTTTGCCACTTATATAAAAACATCAATTTCTCCTACCTATGCTATTTAGTTATTTCTTCTCTTTGTTCATTTCTACTTTGGTCAAAATCGGGTTATGTCCTACACACAACAAACAAAGAAATAAAATACTTTTGTATAGGTAATAATATGTAATGTGTACTTTTATTTTTTTAATGTAATCTTTATTTGTGGACTAAAACTTTAAAAAAATAAAATAGGTTATATCTTTTTTTTAAATATAAAGAAACCTTTAATTTCGGACATACTCCCTTCTAAAAAGCTTGTTTATTGATGTGGAGATGGTATAGGAATAAAAGTTAGTTGTTGATGAGAGGATGAAGGCACGTAAGAGATTGAAGTGTAGTCTTGTGGAGTTGTAAGAGATATGAGTGCGGTCTTGTGTTGATAGCGTTGGAATAGGAGTTAGTTGTTGAGGAGAGGCTTTATCTTCTCCTTACTTACTTCATACACCCTACTTTACGAACGGCAATAAAACACTGTGACCCTGCGAAGTGTCACACCCTAGGCTGTGACACTTCGCAGGGTCACAGGCTAGGGTGGATATGATTTGAATTTCGATAGATTTTTTTGTTTTTTGTAAAATATCAGTGCCATAGGCTCCTACTCCGTTCACATGATTAAAATGTAAAAGTTTTGTTATGTAAAAAAGGTCATTCAGAAGTTTGGTCCGGCTGCCACCGAAATTCGATATGCACGACATTATTCTTATTATTTCTAAGAGGATTCTTTGGAATGGTAGTTTATCTCGCGGCCCCAATGCTTATTGGCGGACTACACATATCTTTGAAATATATCTATATGTATATAAAAGAGTGCCTGATTAATCTATCAACACAGCACAGCTCAAACTATTAGACGTATTAAATCTGAAATTTGGACAGTAGTTGCTCTTTGTGACGTAGGTATACGTTAAGAAAGGATTTTTGGAAACTCAACCCCTAAGAAGGTGCAATGGAGTGTTGTTACAGTTTGTATAAAACTTTTTATTTTATGGCCGATTGACTTGAAACTTACTGAAAGTACTTTGTAAATAAAATATATCAAAACAATCCCTTTTCGGGCCGACCAAAAGCTGTTCAAATTTTAATGGAGAAAAAATATTTTATGTTTTTTTTTTTTTACTTGAAAACTGGAAACGAGACGTTCCATCTTAGTCCTCAGAGGTGCCAACGCATCTGCATTTTGATTTTTAATCGAAAATAGATGTAAATGTCTATGGGCCGAATGTGTGCTTATTTGTCACCCTTATTCTATAAAAAATATCAAATACCAGGATAAACCTTGAAGCCTGTTTAATAGAAAAATCATAATCTGCTTACAATTGGCGAAAACATCGCGAAAATACAGACGAATTGAGAACTTCCTTTTTGAAGTCTGCTTAATACTGGACGTACTTATTAAAAGTGTAAGGGTAAATTTATATCTAATTCGGTCTAAAACTTTACAAGGCATGATGCTGTGCGATTTTTTATAGTATAAAGGTGACTTCCGAAGACACAGTCCACCTGATGCTAAGTGGATGCTGTGGCCCATAGACTTCTACATCTATTCTCGATTAAAGCTCATAACGTACATGTGGTTTCCCCTGAGGACTAGATGGATTGTTCCGTTTCTAAAGCAAAGCTTCAATTTTACGCTGGTATTCTGTGAGAGCGTGGTCCTTCCTCGGTCGAGCCGACCCATTAGTGTTACCACCGTAACACTAATGGGTCGTGGTGGTAAATACGGCATGGCTTTACCGCGTGTGTAAATCAAAGCAGACGAATAAAACAAAAACATAAAACCCAACTCTCAGTGATCTCAGACTCAGACGCACTAAAAACAATCGAAAACAAGATATTTTTAAATGAAATCCGCGAATGTGAGAGATGTTCCTAATTTCTCTTGACTCATAATAATTTAAATAGTTTATCTTCATGTTATGTTGCTCGTTGACACTGAAGTTTTTAGAAAACAAAATGCAGCAAATTAAAAAGTTTCATTTGAGTGAAGAAAAGTAAAAATGTAAAGTTACAGCCTATATACGTCCCACTGCTGGGCACAGGCCTTCCCTCATTTCTGAGAGGGTTTTAGGGCAAGGAAGTGTTCGCCGCGTCGCCCCAATGCGTGTTGGCGGACTTCATATGTCTTCGAAATATTTTTTTTCCTATTTCTCAGATATGCCAGGTTTCCTCACGATGTTTTCCTTCACCGCCGAGCACCGTGGTAAATCAGCACTAAAAATTGCAATTAACATTTTCATTGGTGCCGGCGGGGATAGAACCCAGGTTACTCGCGTTCTGATTTGAGTGAAATTTATTGAAAATTCCATTTGTCAACGGTCATATTTAACCCCAGACAATATCAGAGCAGTGTTATAAGTTTGTAGTATCCATCGGTGTGTCTGTGTGTCTGTCCGTGGCATCATGGCTCCTAGTGTCTTAATCGAGTGAAATCGTTATCGAGCTATGTTTCAAGAAAATCTGAAGTTCCGTTCCGAAATCCCTTTAAAGATCGTCCTTTTTGTTTCGGGGGTTTTTAAAATGTTTTAATTTAAGTTATTATTAACATCTGGGTGTGCGAAAGTGACCAAAGATATGGCGGGGCGAACGACTAAGAGGACTGCATTAGCGTGGTTCGAAAATAACCAAAACAAAATGGCGGACGTGGCACGTGGTGGACTTTGGACAATATACTTGATATGAAATTAATTTGATGCGTTGGCCGACACGATGGGTGTGTGCGTTGGCGCAACCAACATGCTTTTATAAGATGTATGTAAAATAGACCGTGTTAGTGGTGTAAGAATATCCACTACCCTATATGCCCTATAGGTATCGTAAGAGGTGACAGAGGGAAATTGAACCAGGAGATGTGCAGCAGCATCTTCCTGATAACAACCGAAAAGAGTAAAGAAACCGTGGTTGCGAATCCTCCTACTAAACGTGCAACTAAGGCAAAATCTCGCTTATGATGCAACATTTGGGGAAGGCCTCTGTTCAGCAGTGGACTTGAATGGATGGATGTAAACTAAAGCCACCGATAGCCAAAGCATGTCCTATAATTAATCAAAAATAGTATAATTTTAGGGTGTAAGGGGCTTCGCTAAGATCTTGGAGCTCAAGCCAACCCCGCCTGCTCGTGGCGCACCTGCTGAACAACGGAAAGGGCTCTGGCGATGCCACTCCTCTGGGATTCGTCCTAGGGGTTCGGGGGGTCAAACGGCAGTCGCCCCGGTAATTGTAAACACTAATTGGTAAACACTCAAAAATGGAAAATAAAAGAAAGAGATATACGTTTAGGACTAGGGCGTCGCCGCATAACGACGCGCATGGGGATCGCCTTAACCCTGCGACAAGTATGCGAGGGCTACCGGGCCCCGTGCGAGCCCGGCTAAAGACGTTCCCACTACGAAGATTCGCTTTGCAAACTGGAACATTGGCACGCTTACGGGACGCTCCATAGAACTTGCGGCCATACTTGCCAGGTGTAAAGTGGCAGTGGCGTTCCTGCAGGCGACGCGGTGGAAGGCCAACAGGAGCCGGAATATCGGGCACGGCTACAAGCTGATCTATACAGGCTCTTCTGGTGGGGAGAACGGTGTGGCAGTGGTGCTCGCCGAGCATTTCCGCGATAGCGTCTTGGAAGTTAGACGCATATGCGACCGACTTATGATAGTAAGGTTGCTTGTTGAGGGGGTCGTGACCCACTTAATAAGTGCCTACGCCCCACAGGTCGGCTGTAGCGACGCGGATAAGACGCTGTTTTGGGATCGGCTCGGAGATGTACTACGCGGCATACCGTTGTCCCACGATGTTGTGTTGGGTGCCGACCTGAACGGTCATGTGGGCGAGGTGCAGGGGGAGTATGAACATGTCCACGGCGGATATGGTTACGGCCGAAGAAACGCAGAGGGGGGAAACCATTCTCAGAACCTGCACTGCAGCTGACCTGGCCGTCGTGAACACGTTCTTCAAAAAGAAAACCGAGCACCTGATTACCTACAGGAGCGGTCGGAACGCCACTCAAATCGACTATCTACTGACCAGGAGAAGTCATATCAGTGGCGTGGCCAACTGTAAGGTTATACCCGGTGAGTATCTCACTGCCCAACACCGACTTCTTATCATGGACCTCTGCGTAAAACCCCGTCGCAGACACGCCGAACGTTGCCGCCGTCAAATCAAGTGGTGGCTGCTGGATCAAACCAGATACTCAGAGTTTGACTCTGCCGCTGGGGATATTAGTCTCGACACAGCAGGCAAGTCCGTCCAAGAGTGCTGGAAAATCATTCAGACAGCAATCACAAAGACGGTAAAGCAAGTCCTCGGCGTGGCGAAACGGGGTCGCAAAATCGATTATATGCTAAGTTGGACACTCCTGAGGGGCACAAGCTCATATATAAACTGGCGCGCTCTAGGGCCAAAGCAGCGCAAGATATTACTCGCTGCTGCAGCGTCAACGGCCCTAATGGCGAGCTCCTGTACGATGATCGTGCGGTGAAGGAGAGATGGTGCTCTCATTTCCACGTTTTGCTGAATACTCAGCACCGGGAAGTGCACCCTCCCGAACAACTCCCGAACCATGGACTCGTGCCACCGATTACGCCCGACGTGGTCCTCGCATCTCTTCCTCACATGGAGAATCGGAAAGCTGTCGGACCGGACGAGGTGCCAATTGAAGCGTGGAAAGCGCTGGGGGCTCGTGGTGTGTGCATTCTTACTAACCTTTATAATAGAATCCTGAGCGACCGAATAATGCCCGATTAATGGCGGCTTAGTATAATAACGTCGGTCCACAAGGGTAAAGGGTCCGTTCAGGATTGCGGTAATTATCGCGGTTAATTTAAAGTTTAATTATAAAGTTGACGTCACACACCATGAAGCTCTTCGAGCGCATTATTGAGACCAGGATCCGACAGGAGTGTACAGTATCGGACTCCCAGTACGGTTTGCAACCAGGACGCCGTACCATGGACCCTATATTCGCCCTAAGGATCCTCATGGAGAAGCATAGGAAAAAGAATATGCCTCTGCATTTTTTATTCCTAGACCTGCAGAAGGCCTTTGACTGTGTTCCTAGGGAGATGATCTGGTGGGCGTTGCGGTCGAAGTTGGTACCAGAGACCTACGTGGAAATCGTACGTGATATGTACCGCAACTCCGATTCAATAGTCAGGACCGCTGTTGGTGATACCACCCCCTTCCCCATAACCGTAGGCGTGCATCAGGGCACCGTCTTAAGCCCCTATCTCTTCAGTGTGATATTAGATGAACTGTCAGCCAGCGTACAGAAACTACCGCAGCCTTGGCTGCTTATGTACGCTGATGATATCGCACTGGTAGATGGGGACAAAGGACGGCTCACCAGACGCGTGCACGCATGGAGAGAGGCGCTTGAGAACGGTGGGCTGAAGCTAAATGTGGCGAAGACGGAGTATATGGCCTGCAACAGCACAGATCTGACGTCTCTACGTATAGGCGACGACACCGTCGAGCGCACGGACAACTTCAGGTACCTCGGATCTGTGCTTGATGCGTCCGGGGACATCGATCGCGACATCAAGGCCCGTATATCAGCGGCCTGGGCGAAATGGCGCGAGGTGACGGGTGTCATTTTTGACCCCAAAATGCCGGTCAAGCTGAAGGGACAGGTCAATAAGACCATCATAAGGCCTGTCCTTATGTACGGCAGTGAAGCGTGGCCGGTGCTGGAGCGACTCCGGCACTTGTTGCATGTCACGGACATGAACATGCTGCGGTGGATGTGTGGCGTCACACGGAAAGACCATGTACGGAATACATAAATCCGCGGCAGCCTCCATGTCCGTGACATTGCTGACAAGCTCCAGGAAAGCCGCCTCCGCTGGTACGGCCACGTCTTACGACGACCGGCAAGCTACGTGGGAAACAAATGCCTGGACATGACCCTACCTGGTACCAGGAGTAGAGGACGGCCCAAGAAACGCTGGCTTGATGTCGTGCAGGATGACATGCGCGCCAATGGGCTAGTTGCGAGGGACGCCAAAGACCGGGCAAAGTGGAGGAGGAAGTGTAGGAAAGCGGACCCTGGGTTCTCCCGCGCTGGGCGGGATAAACAACCGGGATAAACGCTAGGTAGAAGAAGAAGAAGAAGATAATTAACAAAAAATAATAGAACCAGACGGAGGAATAAGTTCCTGTGGAATAATTTTTTCCTCTAGTTTTAGAGCAGATACTTGAGTAGACCAACCCTTGTTCTACTACGTTCATACTGTTTTGACCGACTCGTCGGGCGTCTATGTGATAGTAAGAGCGACTGTTGATGGTGTTGTTCAGGGTTCGAATCCCGAGTCGAGCCAAAATTTCTGTAAAGAAATTCTCGATAGCAGCCCGGAGTCAGGATTTCGGCGTTGTTTCACCCCAGTGCCTTGGAAAACACGTAAAGCTATTGGTCCTGTACTGCACTCTTCGGTCGCGTAAAATTGTCGTCCCAGCGGACTACTAGGAAATACAAATCTGTTTTTGCGCACACACCAAGCCAGATGGCTAGTATCCATTGAAACTGGCCGCCGTGACCGAAATTCGGATAGGACGTTAATAAGTGGACCACCCGTTGACGCTGCTATCGCAGGAAGAACCCTCTAAGCGAAAATGACATACCCAAGTCTGCCATCATTGACTTATGAATATGTTTTTATTTTATAGAAAAAGTATGATAAATGAGCACACGGTCCACATGATGGTAAGTGCATGCTGTAGCCCATAAGGTATGTCCACACTTATGCCCTTTCATCTTCAACTTTCGTTGTCGTCTTTCTATATAACTTTCGTTTGACGCATTCAATAATTGAATGCGTCAACGAATGCGACGTCAAAGTAGTTATTTGAGTTTCTGTCAGCATATTGAAACATGTACGACGAGAACATTTTACTTGGTGGAATATTTGCGCCTTACTTGGTCACCTGTTTATTAAAGATAACAGAAGTTTTCCACAAATTTGGGATCCAGAGAAACGATGGTTTGCAAGTTTTGGCTACTGAATATAATTTGGACATCGATGGAGTTAAAAAGTGTGAGTGATATAACTCATCGACTTCAGCGCCACGAAAAATATGAGCGAAGACTTTTAATCTTATTTTTTTAACTCTTTATAATTCTTTTTTTTCCTAGAATTTCTTATTACCATTCTCCATACGAAACACAGTAGTATTAAGCTGCTATTTAACGCTGATATTTTGTGAGAGCGTGGTCCTTCCCCGTTCGAGCCGACTAATTCGTGCTACAACAATCTCTACCACGTGGTAATATATGTATTACAGATAAAGATGCCTACTCGGCTATTTATATAATAAACGTACATAAATCCTCGTAGCTTATAGTAAAATTACAACATAGCTTGGCATTGTACTGAATTATCACAGTTGACATTGGGTGCGTTTGACTGAAAAAAGCGCTAGCAAGCGCTTGTAAGCAAAATGGCGATCATAAGCGGTAAGCGCTGTCAAATCGTAATTAGCTATTTTCCTCCAGGACACGATGTTAGTTTTAACCGGAGAACCTAACCTAATTTAAATATATGTTTGTAAAGTATTCATATTAAAAACTTACCAATCATGAATTTTTAATAACATGTATATGTTTATTCATGTCAATATATTACTTAAAACTAATATTGCACAAAACAACTTATAAACTCTACTTCAAAACAAACAAATTAAATAAGCAAAATGGCGGATTGTGTCAGCGCTACTGAAGTAGCAATCGTGTCCTGGCTGAAAACTATTTCAGCGCTTGTAAGCGCTTGGTAGCGCTTTTTTCTGCCAAACGCACCCATTATTCTGGACTTCTTTATCTTCGGAATATTCATTAAAACTAAACTGGACCATTAAAACTTGTTAGAAAATACTCTTAAAATTATTTCAATTAATGAACATCAAAAGTATATTGTTATAATGAGATATTCGATAGTAGAGACCATAGATTTAATATAGTTGTATAAAATCAAAATATACCAGTGTGATCTTCTGCAAAAAGTAACTCTGTAATGGTGGCTATAAGTACAAAATAAATAAATAAATATATTTTTAGATTCAAACGTGGAGATTGCTTAAAATAAATACATTTGAATAAAGGAAATTTTTTAATTACTTTAAAAATTTATTATTTGCCTTAGACTAAGAAACTAAACAATTTTTATATCATAGTCATTTACTTATATATTACTAGCGTAAGGACCGGGCCGACCGAATAACTAAAACGGACCAGTGCGCTGGCCCTAAAATTACAGTTTAGGGCCAACGCGACTCGGTCGACAGTGGTGCGCGCGCAAGACAGATTTGCCTGTCATAAATATGTCTAGTTGCGTGGTAAAAGGGTGCAAAAATTACGATATAAAGATTAAATAAGAACACGGGATATCGTATCATCGGTTAGGGCGACACCGCGAAAAAATGCACCTCCTTTCATCGAATAGTATAGGACTA